CAGACTCTGGTGTTCCTTATTTGTTGTTCTTTTCTTCTCTCCTACTTCCTGTACTCCCCAAAGGAGAGCTTGTTTTTTTGAATATCCTAGTACATCAGTTATATTAGCTGAACTCCTAAACATACTGACCTTTTTGTGGCTTTTCAAGTTCAATTTCCTTGCCTCCTAAAAAAGCAACAACTCTTCCAGCTGTCAGCTTTGCATGCTATAAATGCTCCCCCAACAAACAGCTGCTCTGTTGAGATCTGCACAAATGTCAGCAAGTTATATGACCTTCCACTGAATTTATACATGCAGAATACATGCAGAACTTGCCAAGTAAATAAGCCACCTTCTTCTAGCTAGTCTTACACCATTTGAATTTTGTAGCTATTCCTGTGTAAACAATTTCTAGGGAGTATAGGGAAGAAATGATGTGCAGGGATTTACTACTGTCTTGGGTTTTGAGGGCTGCTTTTTTTTTTAATTATTGTCTTTGTGTGTAATTCTGTTGCAGTCTTCATTCCTGTAATTTGCTTCCTTTTAAAGTTTTCAGTTTTCAAAAATTGCCGCAGGATCCATCTGTTCAGAAATACACAAAGATAAACTTTTTATTGTATATGACCGGTACTATCTAACAGATACGCTTATTAAATGGTACTGTTTTGATCAGTTATTTTGAAATTTGCATTAGTTTCTCCACTATGTGTTTTTCCCAAAAATGTTGCTTTAAGTCATCCTAAAGGTCATTTTAAATCCATTTCAGGCAAATTCCTTAGCCCTGTATGCAGCATCTGAAAAATCTCGTTTAAGCATCTTTTCCACTTGTTTTTATATCTGTTGATTTTTTTTTCCTTCTTCCTTTCTGTAGATGTTTTTTGATACATTATTTGAGATTGGAGGTATATTTAGCTTCGTTTTGGAAGTGACTGCATTGTAGCAATCCTGTGAATACGAAAAGTCCTGTAAATATTATATCATCAGATATGCAAGATGCCAGCTTTAGAGAGTGTATTTTAATATTAGGTAATTAGAATCCGAAAATGAGTATTCTGCCTCTGCAGCTTCCATTGTTGCTATTTATAGACTTCTCATATTTGCTATTATTGGTAGCTGTAATTAACAAGCCATCATGGGGGAATTTGCCTAATCACAGAAGACTAAGTTGTAAGTAGAAAACAGCCTACTCTTACTTCTGAGGAGGCAGAAGTGAGGATAACTTCTGTCCTTTCTGTCATCCCATTTCACGTCAAGTCCATGACTCTGTCGTGTCCTCCACCCCATCCTACCCTTCTTTAGGAAAATTAAGGTTTAGTGACAAAGAAAGTGTGTCCAACTAAAACCAGCTACTTTTGCTAGCACCAGAATCCCCACTTGCCTGTATTGTCTTTTAAAACCTGCCCTCCTAGAAAGCCTGTCAGCTACATGGTATTTTTTACCTTTCTTTGAGAAGGAGCAAATAATTTTCTGGTAGTTTACTTTTAGCCAACACCTCAACCGCTTTGCCCTTTCAGTACATCTAGGAGGCAGTTTCTTCGTGCTTACCAGTATTTGAAGTTTACAGATGTTGGGGGGTGACTTCAGTTTCAATGGCGTTTCTTAGTTCTTTGATTACTCCGAATTCCCAAGGAGGGAAAATATTTCTTATGTTAAAGGAGAGTGAGGGAGGGCGGGCATCCTTATATGCATTTTTCTCTTAAATGTTCTTAATTTGACTTTTTAAGTAAAATTCCATTAGAAGTTCAGCAATTCAGAATGCTCTTACAAAGTCACATGGCTCTATTAAATGCTCCTCCTGGGACATAAGATAATGTCAGTTCATGGAGGGTTGAGGAGAGCCCGAAACAGCAATAAAATCACTTGAACCTTGCTAGCTTGCAAACTGATACAAGGAGATTGTTCTCCCAAGAAGCTATTTGAAAAAATTTAGTTCCTATTAAATTAATTTTCTAGTTAAACATATTGAACGACTTTGAGGTTTCAGTTCATCAAAACTAAAAGCATGAAGAAAATTTTGTTGGCAAATTAGAGACTACCAAAACAGACCAAAATTAGCATTTGTGAGCGAAATGGGAAGCTAAGGAGGTACCCACTGGCTAGGAAATTTTCTCTTCCTCTGATACCTAATACCTAACTGTAGGTCACAGAAACTTATTTAGAACTTCATTTATGAAAATCCCTGTGTCACCTTTAATCTTCAGAATTCTCCTATGAAACAGATGGTATTTGTTTTGGTAATAGGAGAACTGAGAAACTTACAGGCTGTGACCTGTTCAACCAGTGAAACCCTAAGAGCTTCAGGCTGGTACCAGCTTCTTTTGGCTACTTTTCGCTTATACTGTCCTTGAGACTGTACTACACTGTAGACTATAATTACTGGGGGTGAGGTACCAAAAGACCACCCAAAGCCTTAGGCTCTGTCATTAAGAATAATTATCCTGCAATTGCTTACTCTAAGAAGTCCTTTATCCCCATTATAGTGGGTGACTATCAGAACCTCCAAAGAAAGATGCTAGTAATATTCAAGAAGATTTCAGTTCTCAAAGGGTAGTGGGAATTCTCCAGATAAGCCCTTTAATTCTTGGAGTCTGTATTTTTAGTAATGGCTCTTTATTAGATGCCAGTCATATTCGCTAAGTTTAGTGTTCAGAGTTTGGGTTTTTGGTGAACAGATTTCAAAATAATAAGATGCCATTTTATTGAGCTTTGTTTGGCAAATTTAGTGGATAATTTCTTACCTGTTCCTGGCCTTCAGTTAACCTGATTAGCTTCTCTGTTGTGGTTTGTTGCTCCGATGAAGTTTATGCAACTGCTACCACAGTTTAATTTACCAAACAGGGAAATGGTAGTCTTCATTCTTACGGTTTAGAGTTTGAAGTATTGCTTTTGTGTTATTACAGTTTAGCGTTTTCAGGTATTTCTTTCATGTTACAACTTTTCTAACAAATAGGGCTACTTCCAAATGATCCTAGACTGCATAACCTCATGCTATTTCACTTACGCATGAAGAAAGAATGGGAAGGAGAAGAGCCTTTGGCTTCCAGTAGCCAAATGGATTCTTAAGTTTGTTTTGGAGACTTATTTAGTCTAATATGAAGCTAATTTGAATAAAGGGATTTCATGTTGCTGAACCAGAAGCAGTTTCTTTTGTGAAAAATCAAACCCTCTGACTTTTGTAAAATGATACAGCTCCATGGCAACTGGCCCCCAAGTAAGTCATATGTCCCTTTTGTAATGATGTTAAATGCTCAGGCTTTTGGGGTGGAATGGGTAAGAATTGAAGTTGTGGGGTAAAATAATAAATAACGATCCAGCATTCTCTATGTTTCAAGTAGAGGTGATCTTTGGATCAAGTTGTGCTTTTTGATAGCCTGTCTTGATGGTTGCTTGAAGGAAACTCTTGGGTTTGTATCACTCAGAGTTTTGTGGGCACATACAGTTTACTAGCAACGGGGAAAAAGGTATTCCTGGTTTTGCTTGATGGTATGAATTTAAATTCAGAAAGATGACAAATTCTGAAAAACAAATAAAAAAGCCTTTGAATATAGCAGCTCTTAATTTTAAGAAAAGGGGTAGTTTTTGAGTAAGGAGGAAAACATTTTACAAGATCGTTCTTAGAAAATAACTTTGAGTAATTTTATTTCAGATGAAAAGGGGATACAAAGCCTGGTAAGAGAATGAGATTTGAGAACCCTATTAAATTGTATAAATTCCTCCGATCTAGCACCTGAAAGGGTATTAAGTGTGTAATAGTGTAATGTAAAAGAGTATGAGGACTGGACAGTGAGGTATTTAGTAATGTTATTTTCAATTAAAAAAATCCAGAGGAAGGGTTATGGTTGTATGGTCAAACTTGTATAAAAATAGTAAGGTCACCTTGTCCTTTGATATTGATTTTGCTTGCCTAAAGAAAGGAAACTTCTTTCAGCTCATCCAGCATGCTGCGAACCGTTCACTTTTACAGGCGGACTCTCTAGTCTAACTTGTTACAAAATAAAGATGGTGATGGAATTACTGGCTCTGGGAAGATACTCCTTAAATACAGTTAAAAGAAATTTTGAATACCTGTTGTGTCACACTGCTGGAAAACACAGGGCACAATACATGCTGTGAGGTGAATGTTACGTCATTTTAAAATATAAGCAGCCTTTGCCATTTTAAACAGTTGATTTTGATTGCCAAAAACCTCAACCCTCCTGCCTCAAACGTGCACTTCTTAATATGTCTAGTTAGTGGCTTGCTTTTTTGAGAGCTTTGCAAATGGTTACAGCTAAATCTGGAGGTGATGCGTAAAGAGATGTGAATACCGCAGAAAACATGCAGGTGCTTGTCTGAGGTGCTAACTCTGGGGCAAAGAGTGTGGTAAGGGACAAGAAAAAAAATTGAAATTGAAATTAAGATGGGAGCTCCCCTATGTAATAGCTTTTTTCACGTGATTTATTTTAAAGTTTTTTCTTATTTTCTGTGTTCTTGACTTCCAAGTTATGCCACTTCAGTTATTTCTTTGTTCAATAAGTTTAAGTTTTGAAAGGGGGGGGGAGGGGGGGGAGCAGGGGTGA